TATCTATTGATTTGTGGTTAATATTGGTTCTCACAGTTACCACAAACAACTCAGTTATCCCTTGAATACAGAGAGAGAGATCATTTCAAATGCAACTCATCACATTTATACAACCAATGCAACCCAATCAATTGAGATGTTTATGGAAATGATGAAAGTTCATTTATTATAATTTGAATATTTATGGAAGATGAATAAAGTTCATTAATTATGATCAATACTTTATATTAGGAAACAATCAAAAATTTTATGAAATCACATATTCATCAAATTAAATGGACGATTGAGATTGGACTGTATTGGTTGTACAAATGTAAAGGGTTGTATAATAACCCACCTATATATATATATATATATATATATATAGAGAGAGAGAGAGAGAGAGAGAGAGAGAGAGAGAGATAAAGGTATTATTGAAAAATCAAGGAGAAAAACCATACCTAAAAATCTTATGCTTTTGTGTAGAAAATAGTATTATTCATTAGAGAATAATTAGGGTTCGTTTGGCTTGCAAGATTGTTTTTGAAGAATTTGGATTGGAATGGATTTGAAGTGTTTCTAGGATTTGAAATGGAATTGGATTTCATTATTTATAAATAATTTATAGAAAAAATTATAAATAATTGAATTACATTTTTATTAATCGATTATTACAAAACAAATGTTTTTAACATTTTTTAAAACCTTATTGTATACAATCCTACGAAATCCCGTAAAATCCCGAACGCTCTCTAAGGATTTAAAAATCTTATGTTTGAAGGATTTCAATTAAATCCTAGGATTTTAAATCCGGACAATCTAACAAACAAAATATGAGATTGAAATGGATTAAAAATACAAACCTCTCCAAATCCATTACATTCCTTCAAACAAAACGCGACCTTAGTTGTTACACCACCAAATAATAGGTTTTGTCTTAACATTGTATTTTTATTACAACATTATTCTTTAAAATTATTTTTCATTATGAATTTATATTTAAAAAAACTACCAATTGTTTAAACCGTGACATTAATAAGATGACATGGATGCATAAATAAAAAAACCCATGAATGCATATCCGTTTTTTTTATTAACCTGGATATCCAACCTGTTATGCGAGCCGACTAATCTCAAGGCGATTACCTGCTTTGCAGATAGGCCAGAGTCACCGCATTTGAACCTCCGTAACTACAAGGGGATTTTTATTTCTCTTTGGATTTAAACCTGAGACATTCTGGTACTTTTAACCTTTGAAGTCAAGCTCAAACCAATCAGACACCACCATTGTGGTTTGCATACTCGTTTTTACATTTGCTACCACATGATAGGAAGGAAGGAAATCCTTCGCCAAATGGGGATGAAATTGAATCAAAGGTATAAATAAATGAATATGGCAATGAAATGGGAGGTTGTGTTCTAACGAGAAGAAAAGTTATGGTGAGAAATGTAAAAAAAAAATTTTATCCTTAAATCAATCTTAATTGAATGTCAACACTAATGAGGTGTATCGAAATGCACATGATCATTAAAAGTAATTAAGGGTTCAGATATCTTTTTTCGTTCCTCACCATAACTTTCTTTCTCACGTTATCATTCACCAAGGAATGTGAGCCCTAGTATCAATCAACTCATATAACGAATTACAAATCAAGGATTCATTGTAGTTGGACGCAAGGCAGAAACAAATATGAATACTTACAGATTAACAAAGTTGGGGTTCCATTGAGAAAGAGAATTAAGATGAGAAATGTAAGAAAGGTTCTTCACCCTTAGATGCACATTAAAATGAGATGCATTAGACCAATCCCATTCGAACACGATTTATGGATGAGTTAGAAATTAAAGATGATTAACCAAACCCCTTTTTACACTTCTCACCTTAACTCTACTTTGCCACACCCATTATAGGTTAGAGTTGGATTCCAATGTGAATGAAAGTTATTGTGAAAAAGAATCTACACCCTTGGATCAATTCTAATACTCTAACGAGTTGTAGAATTTCATGGGATGAAGGTGAGATTAAAAATGATCAAAGGTCCAAATCCCTTTTTACGCTTCTCATATTAACTCCTATTCTCGATCCTTCATCTTTTAGGTTACATGTACTATATTTGTTTGAAAAGCAAAATTTAAAGAGAATCAAATTTGCATACCAAAAGAAAACCATATCAAGTTAAGAAAACCAGTCTCATAACCTCCCAACAAAAGTAGAATTCAATTAAAGAGGTTTTTTTTCTAAGAAAAGCACAAAAGACCCACAAACATCCAATTATATACTACTACTACTACTACTACTTGCATTATAATAAATATAAAAGACATTTTCTTTTGATTTTACTCAAATGCCCATGCATTCTCTCTGCGAACCTCCTCTTCTTCCTCTGGGGTGAAATCATTCTTGATGTTGAATGTCTTACGAATCTCTTCTGGTGTCTTTCCCTTTATCATATCCGCCACCGTTTGACATGTCAGATCCAGCAAGCTCTTTATGTTCAGATAGTTAGCAGCCTGAAAAACAACCACACAACTACAATCATAAATATAAACTGTCCACAAGACATAACCAAATGCGCATCAAGATATGAACTAAACAGCTCGGTTACCAAAAAGGAAATGCAACTGAACGAGGGAACATTATGCAAATAAGAGCTGTAACCAGAAACATCAAGCACTGCAACGCAATGCCAAATGACAAGTAAATATAAACTAAAAAGTTCCAGAAGCAAAAAGGAAGACAACCAAATGTAAAAAGATACAAAAGCAAAATGCAATCCTACAAAGAGAAATCAACCATAGAGATCAAGTGTTTCAATCCAAGTCAAAAGTTAATACGGCCTCAAAAGATACAGAAGCAAAACAGCAATGAAATCAAATAAAAAAGTTTAATATCAACCAAACATTTTAGATGCAAAATTCAATAATTCAAAGAGAAGCAACCCTACTAAGCAGACATGAACTTTTGAAAAACATGTCTATAGAGACAGAGAAAGACCACCAATGGGAGAATCAGAAAAAGTTCCCATAGCAAAATTAAATCCAAACAAGGCAGATGCAATCACAGACATCAAGTGAAAGCAATGTAACGAGTTCCCAGAGTTACATTAGAGCTAAAAAAAATCATACACAAAATAGAGTTGAAACTGACACCATTATGCAGATAACACAAGTCCCTGATAAACAGAACAGAAAACCATCATACCAACAGGATGGTTTGAATACATGCAAAAAGACCAACCACCACCAGTCCAATCTTTAGAGAACACAATTTACCAATAAAATTACATATCACAGAAAGCCTTATACTTGCTAGTTTACACCATTTTCCTCTTTCTATTAAAATATAATCTGTTGAATTCTTAATTCGTAAATAAGACTGGGGAGAGTTAGAGAGTCAACTGCTAGGTACTTCCATCATAAAATACATATAAGAGTAAGTGTCGTGTTAGCTAGTAATCAAAGTTTAACAGAAGTTTGGTCTTTCTTAGTCCTCAGTTTAGTGAGTTCTGTATCTTCGGCCTTTCTTTATTCATCTATGCATACCTGCGTTTCTATCAGGTACAAGTTTTTTTATCTCTTTCTTCTTGGCCAAGCTTTTCCAAACTATGGTGATGAATTTTTCCAGTCACAAAATCCTTTTCTCAATTTTCACATAAACAGCCTCTCTACCCCCAGGTTAGTTTTGCATACATCCTACCCTTCCCATACCCTGCTCCGTGTGGGATTGTCAGCTTGGTTCGTTTAAGACCTACCATAACATCTCTAGTATTTACGCATCACCCAGAAATCCAGAATCAAAACTTGTCAAATTTTCAAATGATAAACGAGACAATTTATATGTCAATACAATTACTGTGCCTCCCTATATCATCAGGAAAAACAATTAATCAGAAACATACGCATTCATCCAGAGAGTATACAAACAGAATAAATATTCACAAAGCTAATCATCATGAACTCGAAGCAAAACCATGATAAATATCCGAATATTCATCAAAAGAGAAATCAAAAAAAATATAACACCGATCACGTATCCCTAAAACAAAAGAGCAATCATTAATTTTCTAAAGCGTAAAAAAATACTAACTTTTTTCGAGAACAAAAGAAAATAATTGATCAAACCAAACGAAAAGGAAAGAGAAATAACCGAACCAGGATAAGATCGAACAGAGTCCCCTGATCCACTTTAACAAACTCCGCATCAAACGATTTCAGGTCGTCCTCAGCTGATTTATCGTCGGTCTTCGGCGTCTCCACATGCTTCTTACAGTACTCTATAACCTTCGAGAGGATCTTGCTTGTGACGTTGGGCAGAGGAATACTGGTGTCGGCACAGTCATCTTCAATCATATGCTTAATCGTCTGCGACTCCAAAGCCACCGCCTCTTCAACCTCGAACGTTTCTCCATCAGAGCTTTTCAGCACGATGACCTTCGATGACGATGCCATGGTGTCTGGATCAGTCGGAATTCAAAACGCCGGAGAAATTTGGGGATGAAGGAAAACCCTAACCCTAGCGACGGATAGAATTTTATGGCGAGAAAGTCGATGGGTAAAAATTGATGCGCTTGCGCTCAGAACTGCTTGAATTATAGATGGGGGTTGTCACGTCTTGAACCCCTAAATTTATAAGTTTGTACAATAATGGCCCCTAAACTTTAATGATACTAAATAACATTTATCTATACTATCTTATTAAGCATATTCCCTCAAAGTCTTAAAGTCTTAAAATTATAAATACCCAAAATACCCTCTTCTATCTATACTATTTTGTAAACCAAGTTTAAAAGCCCAAAGTACAACTTGATAAAGCATGTACTTCCTCCGGTTTATTTTAAACAACAAGCTTCAGCCGATTGATCTTCTCAATGTTGGCTATTGATGTACTCTTGTTTCTTCCCCTTCCCAACGTGGCTATTGATCTTCTCAATATGGCTATTCTTCACTCCCGTATACACGCATCTTCATCGCTCATCATTCTTCGCTCCCGTATACACACGCATCTTCATCGCTCATCCTAGGGTTTTSTGGGTGCTTTTTGTCGTTCATTGTAATCAGGTTCGATCATCATTCTTCACTCCCGTATACACACGCATCTTCATCGCTCATCCTAGGGTTTTCTGGGTGCTTTTTGTCGTTTATTGTAATCAGGTTCGATAAAAGTACACATCAAATGTTCGATAGTGTTCGATAGTCCCTGCATTTCGAGATAAAAACGTTCCAATTTTTCTGTACCTAAGAGGGATTATATGTCCAGGTTCGTTTAACTCTTTATCATTCTTGTTTGTCTGGTCTAGCTTTTGGCCTTTATCATTCTTCTTCCAGCCTCGAAATTGAAGCTGTAAATTGAATYCAAACACTAAGAAGAGATGGTGTGGTTGTGAAAGAACATAACTTTCTGTATAGTTGAGAGACTATTGATGCAATAACTTTTAGATTCGTTGAATAGAAACTACTAATATCTTCATCTATCGATTCTTCATATGAGAATGGGAGTTTAGGACAAAAGTAATTGATATTTGGTTGTGTTTTCTCAGGGGAACAGATGCAAAACCAGGAAGCTTGTCTAAGGTAGCCGAAGAATGCTTCGAACATAAGGGGTTCCTCTATGTCAGAACATAATAGCTTCTCATCTTGGAGAAGTGCACTAAATTTACTGGAAAAAGATACTCCTCACAGTATTTACAGTGTACTTAAAAGGAGCTATGACCTGTTACCATTTGACACCGACAGAGAATTGTTTTTGCATATTGCTTGTTTCTTTGTTGGCATCGACAAGGATTATATATGTGGTAACCATATTAGAGCCTGATTACTCTGCAGAATCTAGAATCGAAACCCTAACCAAGAGAAGCCTTCTTTATGTTACACCAAACAATAAACTGATGATGCATATATTGCTTCAAGATATGGGAAGAAGCATAGTCAAACAAGAATCACACATAATTGCAGAACGTAGTAGAGTTTGGCGCAATGAGGACTCATATGAAATGTTGAGAAATGGAAAGGCAAGCTGCTTCTTACTTGTATGTTTAAATAAGTTAGTTCCCTTTCCCGCCTCATATTTCATCTAATCAAGACTATTATTTCACTCTTCTACTGTTTAGAGAGCAAGAAGAATGAGAGGTTTGTCACTTGACATTCATATGCTGATGGAAAAGGATGGATTCAATAATGAACTCATAAGCAAACATATAAAAGAGGTATGGTTGTTCAAAAATATGTATATGTACTTTTTGCAAATAAGATTGGTTTTATTACAATGAAAATAATTAAATATATGGATAAATTTCTAATTCACTCTTTTACTTTTAGGTATTGTTTACTTGAGGCATCTTTGTGCCTAGATTTCTTTTAAATATATATATGAGGAAAACATACCAACACTTTTCATGTTAAATTTGTAGTTGCAGTCATGTACCAATAAAGGTGAAGGGAACATATTGTAGAAAAAATAGATTATAAGAAATATATCTTATTAGGAAGTAAATAAATATTGATTTATTTCCTATCGTAATCCCTTGCTTGCGTTGGATCATGGAGGCTAGGAGGTCATTTGGTGCTATTGTGTAATGATGCTTTCAATTATCAACTTCTGTCATGATGCTTTCATGGTGGGGTTTAGTTGGATAACTTTTCAGGCAGCAACAGAACTTGAATGTTCTCGATTGGATTGCTAATTTACTTGAAGTTGAACTAAACTTTTTCTTTGTGAATCAAACATAACCAGGTGTATCAGCAATGGATTGGGGCGATGTGTAACCTTTAACCTTTGTTTTTGTTTGTATTTCTTGAAAGATCTGGTTATTTGGGTTCTTTCTTAATTTTTCAGTTGTTATTCTTACATGATAGAGTTCAAAGCTCATCCATCCATACTTATGGATTTGTTAGAAGCTCTTGATCGTCTTTCGATCTGGTATGAGATGTTGTAGTCTTTTAGAAACTTTGACATGACAACTAATAAATTTGTGTTCACTTTGTTTGTTGATGACTATAGGAATAGATAATGGAACATCATGTTTCTAATATGTCAACTTTTGCAGAGTCGTTTGAAGTTTTCAAGGGCATTGAGAACTATGAACCATAGTTTATATTTATAGATTGTTCGCTCTTTCTACAATATAAAACTTTGACAACTACTTCATGGTGTTTGATAGGATATTGCTCTTGCTCAAAATCTATTTGGGATCATTTGAAATGTAATAGGATGTTACTCATTTTTAATTGGGTTTTGAAAGATGTAACACGATTTCAAATCAAGTCATTTGAAAGTCTACTCCAAATATATTTTGGGTAGATAAATTCTTTTTTTAAATTTATGTCATGTATAATTTTGTAAATTTTAATCATTTTGAATATATAATAGATTGTAGTATGAACGCTCCAAAAAGTTATTTAAAACAATGCACCTTGAGAAATATGTTGAAGAGGGTTGTGTTGTCATTCTAAATCTTATTCATTGCAATCATATTAACAATAGCAAAAAGATTTGTTTATATACACATCCTATATAAGAAATCTGTTTTTTATGAATAATTGTAAAAACTACTAACACCAACATTTTTGGATGGGATGTATATTTGATGTACAAATGTAGTACGCTTTATTACATCTTTTTAGGGGTCGTTTACCAAACGCTTACTCGGGTAAGTGAACACAAAGTCACATTACTTTACCGGATGAATATGGTAAGAACCAAAAATCTTATTCTGGTAAGAGTGAGACAATGACTAAGAGTCTTACCCGGTAAGTGAGGGCTGACTCTTATCACGGTAAGCGCTTACAGGGTAAATTGTTGCATACGATACCGTTTTGGTGGATTAGAATCTCATCCGGTAAATAAACAATAGTGTTACATTTTACCGATAAACGCTTAACGGGTAAGTATTTGATAAACGTCCCTTTAATGAACTTTTACATCCCGCCGCATTGCGCGGGTAGACAACTAGTTGATTAGTATTTAAAACATTTATTTATTGATTTTTACTTTGAAATTTGTATTAAAGCATGTTTAAGTTCCAAGATACATATCCATAATTTTATAAATGTGTAATCATTACACTTTTTAATTAATTAAAAGGCAAATTAATTGAAAAAATAACGTACTTTAACTTGATTCCTATTTTGGGTAATGTACTTTCAAAACTTTCATTTTGGTACCTAAGATATAAAGTTTTAAACATTTATGGGGCGTTTGGTTCGCATAATGATTTCTGAAGGAATGAAATCTGTCAAAGGAATGGAATCTGGAATGAAATGTTATTAGGTTTGACCAAGTGTTTGGTTGACAGAAATGAAATTTAATCTGTCTAATGAATTGGAATCTGTCTGTTTGGTTTGCAACATAATTGGAATGTAATGATAAAAAAAGACAAAAATACCCTTTCTTTGATATTTTTTTAAAAAAAATAATTTTTTTTAGTTACAAATAACAATAAAATTAACATTTAATGAGGAAAAAAATGTTTACCATTTATTGAATCATTTATAAACATAAAACATGAAAAAACATTCACCAAACCATAAACCAAACAGTTCATACAAGTTGACACATCAAATACGTACATATAGATATTGTTAGCAACAAGTGTTTACACATAGCATCCAAGCAATAGGTAACACAAAAATATTGTCCAAGCAATATGTAACAAAAATATTGTCCAAACAATATAGACCAATCATTGGTCTAACATAACCAAAAAATATTGTTTTTACCACCAATTAATCATTGGTCTAACATAACCAAAATATATTGTTTGATCATTGGTCCAACATGAAATGGACCCAATTTTCACGTCTTTCCTTCTTCAAGCTCCAAAAAGTGATCACAGATTCAGTCATTTGTTATCTTTCGCAATGCACAAAACATTTCAGTTTCCGAGAATGTCCTGAACTTCTCAATCTCATCGGTGATCATGGAAGTTTTCTGAGCATTTCAATTTCAACTTCCATCAACGATGCCGATGCTTTCTTAAGTTTGTCATCAAGCGTAAATGTTGCATTGTTGATTACCTCATACAGAGAATCATTCATGTGTTTCCTTTTCTTGCTACCACTTGTGCACTCTTGACTTTGCGCATTTGTGTGTGCATGAGAGGCATCATCTTGATCATCAGAAAGGTTGTCATGGAATTGATTGATATGATCTTCCATGCTTGCATCCTCCATCTCCATTGCATCTCTTGCTTTACTCTCATTAGCTCTATCCTTGCCAAGAACAATGCACAAATCCTCAAAATGAGAAAATGTCTTGTTTTTCCATTTTCCGTCCTCTTTATGAACCTATATTACATCATAAGTTGTAACATTTAATTATAAAACTTCCATCGGTGGAGTCCGCAGGAACAGGTTCAGGTTTCTTAAACAAATGTGGATGTAATTTTATCACTGCACTGCAAACTTTCCTAAAAACCCTGCTAATGGTTTCTCCCGAACGATGGAAACGACATGCCATTACCCGATTCTTAACATTATGAGCAAAACGTGAAGAAAAATGACAACTTGTTCATCCATACCCATATTTCTACTTGCTTGTAATCCTCCTAAAGTTTCAAGCATATCACATAAC